CAGATCCTTTTTTGTGATAACATAGCCAATGGGGAGATGGCATTTCCCGATCTATCCCAACCACAGCAGGCTGCACGGGGGGGGGGCGGCATATGACTCTTACACACACACGCAGTGATACCCTCCATTTGAATGTTAATCCTTGATATGCACAGAATCCAAGAAAAATCACTTGTGGTGTAATTAGTGCCGAGTAATGCCACGTGCCATTTTGCACACCTTTACCCTTACAATACGAATAGTGGCAAATGGCAACAGGACAGTCCTCTCACTGCGCAGTATAACAGACTTTGTGATTTATTTTATTTGGTATATTTAATTTTAGATTCAAACCACCACCACCCAATCCTTAAACGCTGTGTACCCTCGCTCCTTTGTTCTGTGCGGAAAGACACACCGAGAGAAGGTTTGCTTCCTTGCTTCTCGGAGGTGAATATGTGCCAACTTTCTGCACTTTCTGCTGCCCCATCTCCTTTTTCTTTGGCGATACATTTTTCTCTCTCCCTCCTTCTCTCATGGTAAGAGAGTTAGCATGACAGCAGAGCAGGTCTTCCCTTACCACAAGCTCTTCTTCCTCCTCAGTTACACCAAGGGGTCGGCAACTTGTTGCCTTCCAGATATTTTAGGCAGCAGCTCCCATAAGCTCAAGCCGGCATAGTCAGTGTTCAAGGATTTAATAGTGTTTCTGTTCAAAACAACTGGATTCACTTAAATTGTGTCAGATTAAGTCTCTAGCACCCTTTTCAGTGACTGGGTTGAAAATTTCTAAGTTTGTCCATTTATCTCTTTCCGCACTGATTTGTTTCTTCAAATACATGGTCACGGTGATGGATTGTGCCCCAGCTTTCCACCACTGGTCTGTCCGTTGCTCGAACCCAACCCTCACACATATACATTTCTTTCTTTAGCCCAGGCCTATGTTTTCTCAATGTGCTGTTACTCCTTTCAGCAAGGCCACTGTGTCCCTTTCCCCAATCTTTGCCTGACAGCTTTTCCACAAATGGGGCCATTCCACAGGTGAAACTTAAACTGATCTGGTTAACATAGCCTGTGTGGTACCTTTCGCCTTTTCAAGTTGAAGTAACAACAGTTGCACAAAGTGCCAAAAAAGTGTGTGAAGGGCTTAGATGTGCTTTTAAGCATCAGTGTGTGAAACATCCACAGATATCCCTCATTCTGGAATGCTACCCTCTGTAAGCCCAGAAAGGAAGACATATTATGTGTATATCATAATCTTCCTGGAATTGGAAGATTCATGAGATGTTTTTAGCATGCACAACTTAGATATGTATGTGTGACTGTCATTTCTTTGCAGAGCCCTTGCTGGTGTAAAAATGTCCTTATGCAGCTCTGAACAACTATTTGAAGGATCTAAACTCTCCTGTACTCTATTTCTTCAGACAGGAATCCAAAGTAAAGCTGGAAGATGGTAGTGAGCCCAAGGCAGGGATTATGAACCTAGCTGTATCCCAGCCTTCCCCTTCTTGATGCCTTCCAGATGTGTTGGCTGGGGATGATGGGAGTTGCAGCCCAAAATATTTTCAGCGTGCCAGATTCAGGAGCTGTTGTTCCCAAGGTGTGTGAATGGATCCTAGCAAAACTCTGCTTGAGCCCACAAGCATCAGTGGGGTGTATTTCGATCGAGAGGGCGGACAAATGCTGTATTTCAAATGTCCTTCCTGTTGTTTTGTTGTCATTGAGCTGAAACAGTGGCAACAGAAAATAATCACAGGTCTGTGGTGTTGGAGTTGGGATAAGGTGAAAAAGACTGAAAATAGGCTGTGATATTAAGTGTTAGCTAACCAAGTCATTCATGTGGGTAAAAAGCTGCCACTCAGCTCAGCTGGGTGGCCAAGGGAAGGCTGCTTGGTTAAGGGACCTCACGTCACTGAGCTTCCCTGCAGAGATGGGGATGGAATGGTGCTGGTGAAAGAGACGGATAGGGTTGGATCTGTATCCCAAATTATCAGGGACAGGGTTGGCCCTACTATTTGGTAGAGTGACGGAGCCACCTGAGACAGCATCATGAAAAAGCAGCAGAGTGTTAGTTTTCATTTTTTTTTTAAAAAAATGAATTACAATCGATGTTTTATTGCTAGCGAAGTGGAAAGGTGTTTGAGGATTGGGTTCACTGCCTCCTGTGCCAAAATAACTTGGCTGGACCTTAATGTAGGTGGTGGGGGGGAAGGGGCCCTTTGATGCTCCACTTCAGGTAGCAAAATATGTTGGGTTGATCCTGTTCAGGGGCCCCACCCAAAAGGGGGCCTTGGTATGTTACTTTCTTCGTAGTCATCATGCTTTTGAGTTTCAGAAGGCACCAAGAAGTCCAGACCAGATTCAAAAACTTCTTTTGGTAGCATATACATAAGGGTGTTTGGAACTCTTAGACCAAGTAGGAGGGCTGCATGTTAACTGTTGTGATGTTGACTGTACATTTGGTGCATGACAGGGGCAGGGGGCATCTCCCCGTCCTGCCCCACAATCTATCTCTGACTGGCTCTCCAGCTCAAATCTCCTGAAAGGGGAATGTTCCCTAATCTACTCTGCTCCAGGAAGAAGCTTTTTTTTTAGCCCAGGAAAGATTTGGTTTGTCTTAATGGTGCCTGGCATCAGGTTGGATGATCTGGCTTTAGCTGCAGTACAGATTCACCTACCATGGTCATGCAGCTGAACATATCTTTGCAGGGAGTCTGGTTTTCCCCCTTGGAGTGCTAAACCTGCAGTTGTAGCAGCTGATCCCTCTTAAATTGTCAATGGTTCCATCCTGTGGAATGCTGAGATTTGTAATTTGAGGTGCCACCTAGAATTCACTTCTGGAGAGCAATAGCTGTCCCCCAGCAGAGAAAGCAGAGAATTTCAAAACCCCAACCAAGCTACAGATCCTAGGATTCCTTACCACCTATGGAACCATGACAGTCAGAGGGGTGCTAGACTGCCCTAACTGTAGGTTGTGGGTACACTTATGGTCTTCAGCTGCTCCTCTTGGTCAACCTTCCTTTTTGTTAGGGTGAAATGTGGCAGTGTTGGAGTTCTAAGAGCTTAGGAGGAACCTTGTCCAGTCCAATCAGAGGTGTCACCAGAGTACCAGGACTTTTGAGGCAGAAGCTCAGCTTCCCACCTAGATGGAGTGGTCTCTAAACACTGCAGAGTTTACTTACCCACTTTTTTGAGTGGGTCACAGACAGTACTGTCTCTAGATACTCTTCTCTCCCAAGAAAAGGCATTAAGTCTGGAGTCCAAAATGACCAGCTCGGACCAGACTGACCCATTTCCAAAGGTGATAAGCCAGATGCTTCTGGGAAGCCCACGTTTTCAGAAGCTGAAAAGAACAACTCTTCCCTGTTGCCTGGAACTCTTGGACCAGGAACTGCTCCACCTACCGACTTCAGCCCAGAAACTGTCACTCAGAGGTGCACTGCTACCAAACCTAAAGTGGAGTAGGTCACCCAGTCCCCTCTCCCCACCGCTTTGTACTAAAATTCCCAACAGCTCCAGTGAGCATAGCCAGTGATCAGGGATGTTGTGGTAAGAAATATCTTGAGTGTTCCTTGTTGCCCATCCTGACCTAGAGGCTCTCAGTTCAGAAGTGTTAAGTAGAGCCCTGCTGCAGGATTAGACCCAGAGGCACCATCTCCCCCATAACTTGGGACAGTTACTATTTCTCCCCCCCCCTTTGGACTACAACCGCTGGAATCCAGGGGAACTGAGGATTTTGAGAGAGGTAGTCAAAAAAAGTGCAAAAAGAGGGAGCAAGCGTCCCAAGACTTTCGACGCAGGCCTTCATCATGTTCCAGCAGCCTTCTGGGAAATTCGACACAGGAATTTTTTTTTGGGGGGGCACAGCCCTTCTCCTCGCTGCCCCCGACCCTGGCAGCCCCACTTGGCCGTCATGATTCTCCTAGCGGCCCTTGACGGAGCTCTCTTTGCCCTCCTGCCCCCCCCCCGCCGCCCTCTTTCCTGCCTGGATCGAGCATCTCCGTCGCCCGCGCCTCCGACCCAGAAGGCGGGCGGGCTTCGCTCGCTTTGCCCCGACGCGCTGCGGTCGCTGGTTGCCCAGGTGGAGGCTCCCCAACCGCCGCGGGACGGGAGGGAGGCGGAGAGGCCGAGAGGCCGGCCAGCTGGCTTCCCGATTGTCCTTCGCCTCCAAGCAAGTGCAAGCCGCCGCCAGCGCCTCCCTCCACTGGCCCGGGATGATGCGCTCCTTCCCTTTTCCTCTCTCTCTAGGTGGTGGGGAGGATGTGGAGAGGCGGCAGGAGGAGAAGAAGAGGACGAGGAGGACGACGAGGAGGAGAAGGAGGAAAAGGAAAGGACGAGGTCTGCGGCAGCGCCGCGGCCGACGGGGCAAGGCTCTTCGCCCGGCTCGGCTTCCCCTTGCCCAGGGCAGGCGATCGATAGCCCGGGCCTCCTCCCCTTCGATGACCTCGCAAGGAACCTGCTGCCTGCCTGCTCATTGCGCAGAGGGAGGGAGGGAGGGAAGGAGGCTAGCCGGCGAGCGAGCGGGCGGGCGGGCGGGCTGGAAGGAAGAGCTCTCGGCTCGTCGCGCTGCCCCGGCAATCAGCCCTTCAGGCCACGGAGCCACCCACGGCGGGCGGGTTGAGTGCCGGTGGAAGGAGAAGAGGACCCCAGAGCCGCCCATCAGCCCTTAAAGCAGAACCGTAGCCTTCTGCCAGAGCTGCTGCCTCCCCGAGCAGCCGGGTCCCGGGCAGAGCCAGCGAGAGAATAGGCTTGAAGAGGAGAAGGAAGGGGCGGGAGGAAAGGTTGAGGAGGAGGAGTAGCGGGTGTGTGTGTGTGTGTGTGTGCTGTTGTTTGCCGACGATCGGAAGTTACTGACAATCAAGCAGCACCTTCATCTCTCCAAAGGCTGCGCCAGCGAGAGAGGGAGGCAGAGAGGGAGACGCGCGCTCCCGCGCACACCCAGCCCCCCCCCGCGCTCATCTACGGAACGGCCGTCGCCGGAGGAGGAGGAGGAGAGAGGCGCGCGCGGGGTGGTGGTGGGGGGGTGGGAGAGAGAGAGGAGAGCTGATGTCTAAGGGAGTCACTCGGAGGAGGCAAAGCAGGCAGGCTCTCAACTTCTCCGCGTTGGTGGTGCTCAGCGCGAAGCGGGATCGCTGGAAAGCGGCGCCCGGGCTTGCCCAAAGCGGAGCCCGGCTCTCCTGGCCAAGCTCCTGCGCGCCGGGATTTGACTCCGTTCACTTGAAGCCACTTGACCGGCCCCCTCCTGCCGCCGCCGCCGCCGCCGCCGCCGCTCCTCGTCACCACCACCACCACTCAGCGATGTATTACTCCCTGCTCTCCGCCTGCACTTGCCTGTAAGCCGGACCCGGACGCGTGTCCCCCCCACCGGCCCGCCCGCGCGCGCTGCCTCGCTCTGGAAAAGTAGCGGGCTTCCCCGGGGTTGGATCGGGGCTCCTCTGCCGGGGTGGCGGCGGCGGCGGCGGCGAGTTGTCCTCCTCCTCCTCCTCCCCCTACCACCACTTTTTTTCTTTTAAAAAGTGTCTCTGTTGGTATTTCCCCTCTCCTACGCCGGCCCTGGGCGCTCGCTCTTAAAGGCGAGCTTTGTATATAAACCGTGCCAGCTCATCCTCTGATCTTCTGTTGCTTTCTCTCCCCTTTTCTCCTCTCCAGATGTTTACATTTCTTGCTGCTCTGCATCCCGGTACAGGTAAGTGCCATTTGCCACCACCGTCCCATTTCTCGAAACACCATCCTCTTGCCGGGACGGGGCGCGCGCGCGGGGGGGGGGGCAAACGGGGTTTGACCTAGGCACTTTTCCCAGGGCGGGTTAGAGCTCTCCTTCGCTGCGTCCCCTCACCTTCTCGCTCTCTCTCTCTCTTACACACACACCCGCCCATGCCTAGTTTTATTCTCCTGCTTACACCGCCGGCGGTCAGAGAATCACTTGCTCTATTAGAACCGGCACCCTTCGGTTCGCCCAGCTTGTTCTGTTCAGGGGTCACTTGCTCCAAAGGATGATTAAAATGATCGCCAGTGATTCTAACTCCCCATCCTCCATTCTCTCTCCCCCCCCAATGGCTGCTGCGTCTTAGATGCCAGTAACTTGCATTTAGAAAAAAAAAAGGGGGGGGATTTCTCTGGAGTGCATTAGACGGGCTAATGATGTGAGAGGGAGAAGTTGGCCGCGGAGCGCCGCAAAAAATGTTGATTGATGCACTTGCGATGGACGGGCGAAAACCTCCCGGGTTTGGAGCGTGGGCTTGCCTTCCACCTCTCTCTCTCTCTCCCTTTAAAAGAGCGGGACAATCTGGTGCTTTGGGAGAGGGGGGGCGGTGATACCAGAACACCTTAATCTCAGGCAGGGGGAAGCTCAGGAGCCGGACCTTCAGGAGAAACTTGCCCAGATCCCATGGAAGGGAGGTGGGAGGAAACGAAGGTGAAGACAAGGCACGGGACCTGCCCGATCCAGGGAGCCTGGCGGGGACACCTCTCCGTCCTCCATCGAGCTCGCGGGTAGTTGTGAGGAAGGGAAAACGAGGCGAAAGAAGGAAGGAAGGAAGGGCGCGTGGTTGGGTGGAGCGGGTCACACTCTTTTCCATGACATGAGGATATTTTCGTCGAGGTGGGGGCGCGGGGAGGGAAGAGCCGGAATGTGGGTCGCTGGAACGGGTGTGAACGCAACACGTGCATTCTGAGACGGAGCCGCCCCGCGATCCTGCATATTTCGGAGTTGGCCAAGCAGGTGTTGTGACTCCGGAGTCGCCCCCCCCGCCTTTTATGACGCTCCCTCTCCCCTCCCGCCTCGCCTCTGTTTGTTNAAGCCGCGTCTTTTCGCCCGGAATGCACCTGTTTGCCAGCGTTTCTGTTGCGGTTGTTTCATGTCGGGTAGGAACTGATCCTGTACAAACGGATTAAAGTCTCTGAAATCGGAGCCGCCGCGCGAGCCAAGCGCCAAACGCCGTGCCATAGCCTTACCTCCCTTGAAAAAACCCAGCGAGAGTCGGAAAAAACAACAAGGAGTGGGACTCCGAAGGAGCGAGCGAGCAGCCCTCGGACCTTCGGCTGGGAATTACTGTGTGGTTGAAAGGAAAGGCGTTTGCTCAAAGCAAACCGGCACCCTTGGCAAAAAAGAGAGACTTTCTTTCTTTCTTTCTTTTTCTTTCTTTCTTTCTTTCTTTCTTTCTTTCTTTCTTTCTTTCTTTCTTTCTTTCTTTCTTTCTTTCTTTCTTTCTTTCTTTCTTTCTTTCTTTCTTT